ATTTTTAAAATAAGTTAGTTTTTTCAAAAGTCCTGATAAACATCTAAAAAGTCTTTTTTTTGTTTGAAAAATTCCATAAATAAAATTGAAATAGCAAAATAAACTGGACTCTTTTTAAAGAGAGAGAAGCCTAAACATTTTAAAATAGCAGTTCAATAAAAAACTCATTTTTTTGAATTTTTTTTTACAGAGAGTCTCAACCCATAAGATGAAGTAAAAATGATTCTTAACATAAAATCCATTTTTCCTTAACCCCCAATTGATTATTAAAGAAAAAAAACACAATACAGAATTTTATTTTGTATTTTGACACATTTGATAAAATTTTAAAACCTAAATCCAGAACTTTAGCTTGTTTGATCAGTTTGATCAATTTTAGCTTATTTTAAAATCGCAGTTCAATAAAAAACCAAATTAAAAACAATTCACTAAAAGCAAAAAAAAAAAAAGGGTCATCAAATAAAAAGGATTAACTTTTTAATGTTCCTTTTTCCTTTTAATCAACAAATTCCCTTCAAATCCTAAATCCAAATACAGCCTAAGAGAGATGGAAAAAAAAAAAAAGAAGACCTATCATATTACAAAATTAAATTATAACAAAAACTTTGTAAAAATTAAAAAAAAAAAATAGTTATTCAGGCCCAAAAGATAGACTTATTTTATAAGTCCAGTGATATGTTTAGAAGAGGGCTGGTTGATAATTAAATATTATCTAATTATCAACCAATCATTCAATCAACAAATTCCCTTCAAATCCTAAATCCAAATACAACCTAAGAGAGATGGGAAAAAAAAAAAGGAAAAAAAAAAGACCTATCATATTACAAAATTAAACTGTAACAAAATCTTTGTAAAAAAAAAATAAATAATAGTTATTCAGGCAAAAAAGTTAGACCTACTTTAATGAATCAAGAATCAACCAAAAGTTAGACCTACTTTAATAAATAAAGAGTAGTTATTCAGGCAGAGTGATATGTCAAGAATCAACCAATCATCTTCTTGACACATCACTGGGTCTATAAAGTGGGTATAAAAAATGAACTTGTATATCATTATTAAAAAAAAAAGAAGACATAAGCATTTACATAATTCATCATACATTCCAACTATTAAAAAAAAAAAACATAAGTATTCTCTAGAAATTTAACAGTTATATACCACGATACATAACTATACATACTATATTAGACTTCTTTCTAAACCAAACATTATTTTCATCGTGCCTTCAGGCATGGACATACCCTAGTACACACTATATTAGACTTCTTTCTAAACCAAACATTAAAAGCTTAATGTTTAATCTAATTATTGAAAATTCCAAGACCAGACATGAAAATTCCAGAGTATGAAAGAAATCTGAGAGAGCTCATTCATTAATCCAGAACATTCATTAACCCACTACAATTCGAAAAAGAAAGCGAGGAACTAATAAAAAATTGCAAGGGAGAGACTTCCTAACCTGAGTATCTGTTTGAGAAGCAAAATTAAAGAAATCTGAGACAGAAGAATAAAAAGAAAAACACAATTAGTAAGAGCACTCCTCAACACTAAAAATGTACACGAATCTATTTTCATGTTTGATGAATAAGAATATGACCATTGATGATTAATGAGAACCTCAGCCCATTTGATTAAGATGGAATAAAAATAATTACTGACATGAAATATAACTGTAAGAAGGCAGAATGAGGTTTAATAATTACCATAAAGAAAAATTAATCGACACATAATTAACAACCTCATAACATATTTTAGTTAACAACCTATTTTAAGAAGTTCATCATTGCATGAATATCACAAATGGGGAAATTGAACTACTACAGGATAGAAGATAAATTATAATTTTTTAATGTCTTTAATATACATTAAAAATGATAGAAGAAAAATTAAATATTGTCATAGAAATCTTCATCATTTTTCTCTATTGGCCAAAATGTAGAACTATCGCAATAAATGATTTTGTGGTTGATTCTATATAGTAATTTTGCATTGACAACAGTTAAATTCTTATGGATTGTATTGCCCACTTTTCGTACTAACAACTAAACAATTTCCTTTCCTTCCTCTTCTTAGATACCAAACAACAATGCATAAAATTCAAACTTCCTTTTCCTCTCTCTCTCTCTCTCTCTCTCTCTCTCAACAATCAACAACCAAACTAAGACAGAGAGAGAGAGAGAATCCAAAAAAAAATAAAGTGGGTATGAAAAATGAGCTTGTATATCATTATTAAAAAAAAGAAAAGAAATAAGTATTCACATAATTCATCATACATTCCTATTATTTAAATAAATAAAAAAAAAAGACACATAAGTATTCTCTAAAAATTGAACAACTATATACCAAGATACATAACTATACACACTATATTAGATTTTTTTTTTTTAAAACCAAACATGAAAAGCTTAATGTTTAATATAATTATTGGAAATTCCAAGACCAAACATGAAAATTCCAAAGCATTAAAGAAATCTGATAGAGTTCATTAATTAACCCACTACAATTCAAGAAAGAAAGTAGGGAACTAATAAAGAATTGCAAGGGAAAGACCACCCAACCTAAGTATCTGTTTGAGAATCAAAACTAAAGAAATATGAGACAAAAGGATAAAAAAAAAAACATATTTAAGAACAAAAGAGAGAGAAAATCTAAAAAAACAGAGATCGAAGTACTAACCAGAGCGTCGAGAAACAATCTGCAAGTAAGAACAAAACACAATTAGAAATCAAACAAAAAATTGAAAAAGAACAACAAAAAAAATTCACAACAATAAAAAATTTTGACAAACCATCATTTTGTCAACCCATATTTGGTGAGTAAAAATATAACTATTGATAATTATGACCATTGATAATTAAAGAGAGTCTCAACACATTTAACTAAGATGAAATAAAAATGATTCTATGCGAACTCAACCAATGGTAAATGCTTCTCCCACGACCCCTTGAAATCAAGGACACAAGCTCTAAGCATGTCCTCTAAAATCTGAATGGTATGTTCTGACTGTCTATCGGTTTGAGGATGATAAGCGGTGCTAAGAGTCAACTTAGTTCCCAATGCCTATTGAAGGCTTTGCCATAACCGGGTAGTAAAACGAGGATCCCTATCCGACACAATAGTCACAGGGACTCCATGAAGTTGAACTATCTCTCTAATATACAACTCTGCCAAGCGTTCAACTGAGTTGCTGGTGCACATCATAATGAAATGGGTAGACTTAGTCAACCTATCAACAATCACCCAAACGGCATCATTGCCTCGTTGTGTTCTAGGAAGGCCAACTACAAAATCCATGGTAACATGCTCCCATTTCCACTCGACTATCGGTAAGGGTTGTAACAAACCCGTTGGTCTTTGGTGTTCAACCTTCACTTGTTGACAAGTAAGACACTTCGTTACAAATAAAGCGACATCCTGTTTCATACCCCTCCACCAAAACTGATGATTAAGATCATGATACATTTTAGTGCCTCCTGGGTGTACAGTACAACATGAGTGATGGAACGCCCGAAGTACTTCCTCTCTACAAGATTCTGGTACAAACAAACGGTCTAGGTAATGTACACTCAGATCCGAGTGAACGTTCAAACCTTTCTCTTTCTTCTCATTAGAAATCTTAATACGGATTGATTCCACATCACGGTCTCCTCATTGTGCCTCTATGACCTTACTAACCAAGGTAAGTTGAGCATTCAAAGTAAACAAGGTAGCACTCTCTCCAAACTCCCCCAAGTGCAAATCAAACTTGCCAATAACATCTAGCATATCCCATTTCCGAATGGCCACACTTGCCAAACTACTCACAAATTTTTGACTCAAAGCCCAATTGATTATTAAACAAAAAAACACAATACAGAATTTCATTTTATATTTTGAGACATTTGATAAAAATTGTAAAATGTTCAACATTTTTGTTTTTGCTATTAAAGCTCATTCTCAACAGCAGCATTTAATAGATTATAGGAATTATTATCACCAAAAACAGGGTGCAAAATAAAATGGGCTTTGGATTATGCAACAAAATAAAACAGGGTGCAAACAGCCCTATAATGCAACAAAATCAAAATCCATCATATTTTTAACCCATTTCAATATTTACAAAAATAGAAAGACACCCTATAATGTTTCAATTTCAGTGTGGTCCGAATATAATTGTCATTGGTAGGGTTTAATGAGATTTTTGCTTCAGAATTTTTTTTACAGAGAGTCTCAACCCATAAGATGAAATAAAAATGATCCTTAACATGAAATCCATTTTTCCTTAACCCCCAATTGATTATTAAAGAAAAAAAACACAATACAGAATTTTATTTTGTATTTTGAGACATTTGATAAAGTTTTAAAACCTAAATCCAGAACTTTAGCTTGTTTGATCAGTTTGATCAATTTTAGCTTATTTTAAAACACAATACACAATACAGAATTTTTATTTTTGGTTTTTTTTTTAAAGGGTTTTTATGTGTATCCTAAAACCTAAATCGTAATAAAAAAAAAAAAAATCAAACCAACATAGCCCAAGAAATAGAAAAAAAAAACAGCAACAGCAATTTAGCCTATGTGGTATGATAAGATTAGTGAGTTGGATTAGATTGATTGAGTGATAAAATTGACTGATCAGTTACACTGCTGGTTAAAATTTGTTAATTCCATATAGTTTCTAAACCCACCCCTACACATAACCAAAAAAAAAAAAAAAGATTACAAAAACCCAACAAATAAATAAATAAATAAAATAAAATAAAATAAAATAAAACAAACCAACATAGCCCAAGAAATAGAAAACAAAACAGCAACAGCAATTTAGCCTATGTGGTATGATAAGATTAGTGAGTTGGATTAGATTGATTGAGTGATAAAATTGACTGATTAATTACACTGCTGGTTAAAATTTGTTAATTCCATATAGTTTCTAAACCCACCCCTACACATAACCAAAAAAAAAAAAAAAGATTACAACAACCCAACAAATAAATAAATAAATAAAAAAACAACCAAACTAACACAACCCAACAAATAAATAATAAAATAATAATAAAAACAACCAAACCAACACAGTTTCAAAGAAAAAGAAAGAAAGAAAAAAAAAAACCAATTTCGAGCCACGTTCGAGGCCTCAATCTTTTTCCATAAACAAAACAGGGTGCAAACCCCTCTTGTTGGCACCAGATCTTTTTGCTATAAATAAAACAGGGTGCAAACAGAGTCCCACTTGGTGAATCAAACTTATAAAATTTAGCTTGTTTGATCAATTTTTTTTTTTCTTTTTTGGGTTTGTTTTTGCGATATTGTTTGATCAAGTTGAGAACACCCCAAAGATCCAAAAATAAAGCCACAATCACCAACCCCATCTATAGAACAGAGTCAGATATTGAAATAATAACAGGGTGCAACCTCAAGATTTCTTAAAAATTAATAACAAAGTCAGACATTGAAATAAACTCCAAACAATTTCCATCCCTCAATCACAAACAAAGCTTGACCTTATCTCACAATCTTAGTACAAAACACAAATCAAAGAGATTAAACAATCTTAAAAAAACCTAATCCAATCTAATTCAGTACCCAATCTAACCCAATACACACCTACTATTGTTCATGACAGAATAAAACACATTTCAATGAAATCAATGAAGGGTTCAATAAAAGAAAGAGATGAATCCATCTCTTAACATGGGAAAGAGAGGCTGAGTAAGTGAAGAAACACAAACAAATCATCTTGACCCATAAACAAATGTTTTGCTTCAGAATTTTTTCTTCAGTATTAACAAAAATTCAAAAAAAATAATAATAAATTTCCGCAACAGTTGTAGTCAATAAAACTTTCATACCAATAAAAAAAAAAAAAAGGCCCTACTGCCCTTTTACAGTCACATCTTTCACTCTTATTTCCTGTGTAAAGCCCCTAATCTTGTAACTGGAATAAAAGATTCACAAACTTAACTCCTAAAGATCAGCTAGAACAATTAAACCATAAACTTTGCAATCCGTGGTTCCACAAAGCAGCAGCACAATGTCCATGCTGTAAAAACACTTATTTCTTAACTTGAATGTCCAAATTTAGGATCAACCTTTCAATATACTTCATATCACGTCTTTCATCATTATCCCCTGCCTAGAACCACCCACACCATCGCTAAATGGACAATGGAGAACATAATAAAATCTATCAATATTATTAGAAAACAATCTATTTTTATTTTTTTTTATATGTACTCAGCAGCTCAAAACATTTTCCTGGATGTATGGATAAGTATTGGCAGTAATGAGCATTTTTGCTTCAGAAACCTTGCTTGAAACCTTGCTTCAGAGATAAAATAACTTATTCCTAGTGTATGCCCATGGAACTTTTGCTTCAGAATTTTTGAAACAAATACAAACCCTCCGAATGTTTGAGAAACAAATGTTTTTGAAAAAAACAAATGCTTCAGAATTTTTTTTGAAAAAACAAATACATTTTTGCTAACCCTCCGAATCATACATTTTTGCTTCAAAAACAAATACATTTTTGCTTGAGGAAAAAACAAACTGAACGTGGGGATGACGGGATGAGCTTACCTGGTGATGGTGGAGAAGAGAGCTTTCTTCCTTCTTCAAAGCTTTCTCAGAGCTTTGTTCAAATGATACAGATGATACATATGATGTAAAGAAATCTGAACCAAATCTGAACCTGGTAAGTGCAGTGGGTTGGTGAGAGTAGATTGGTAAACAAATCTGAACCATTGAATTTTAGTGATTGATAAATCTAAACCATTGAAACTCTTTTCAATCTCAGCCATTGTTTTTAAATTAGACAAATCTAAACCATTAAAGATAGTTTGTGAGAGATATATTTTTAAGAATAAATCCGAGCCATTACTTTTTAAATTAGATAGATCTAAACCATTAATTTCAAAGATATTTTCAAACTCATCCTTCCATTGTTATATAGATAGATCGACAATGCTAGGTAGCTCAAATTTTTGTGGCTCAAATGGCTCAAATCTGTCAAAACGACGTCGTTTTGACAGATTTTGTGTGTAAAACGACGTCGTTTTGACAGATTTGAGCCATTTAAGCCACAAAAATTTGAGTTACCAAACATTTTCCATAGATAGATATATAGATATATTGATTTGTCTTAAAATATGTATGTTTTCAACATGAAAAAGAATTGGTAAATCACAAATAGATAGGACAATTACAAAATAACTGTATAGATGACAATATTTTCTGTTGCAACATACACTAAAGCATATGAATGAACTTACACTTTATATATACAGGATACTTGCAAATTATTTCTGTATTGTCTCAAAAAATGTGAAGTCTTGTAAATTACTTTATGCAACCAAAGTATTGCAGCAATCTAGATGTAAAATTTCTTTTAAAAAAGACGAGGTTAGAGAGATAAAATAGGAAAGATGCATTTAATCTTTCACTTTAGAAATTGGTGAGAGAGGTTAGGAAAATTTATTTAAAAAGTCAACTTATTATAGAGAGATAGGGCGTTTTGGCAGCTTAATAAAAAAGTCAGTTTTTTGATTTTTTAAAACTTTTTTATATAAAAAAGTCACAAAAAAACCAGTTTTTTACACAAAAAAAGCTATTAAAAAGTCAAAAAATTAATTTTTTACCAACTTTCCAAAACATCACAGAATAGGAAAGATGCATTTAATCTTTCTAGGTTAGGTAAGGGAGACTAGGAGTGAAAGTATAACATTAATCTATCTATCTATATTAGTCAAAATATCATTTTAACCAAGAGTCTTATGAGAATTTTAATTCTTCATAGTAAAATTTTAAATTATTTACAATTAAAAATAAATTTTAAAAATAATATTGGCTGTTCATGAGTTTGTTAATTCCTTACATATTACTTTTTCTTACTAGACTTTCAATTTTAGTTCACTTTTATTTTTGCATAGTGGTGATGGTGAATGAGAATTCATTCCTATCCCTCACCGAGACCCTGCCTCCCTTGTCATTATTCATGGCTTGGTCAATAGCAGAAGTGATAGTGAAAAAGAGGGTTCTTATTTATTTATTTTTTATATTATTTTTAACTATTTTTTCTATTTTTTTAAAAGCCTTTTGTTAATTTATTTATTTATTTATTTATTTTTCCCTTGAATCTTTTTCATTTTAACATAACAATGATGATTGTGGATTTAACTGGAAAATCTGATGCCGGCAGTAGGAATGAAATACTTATGAACGTTCCTTTGACTATGCGCTTTTGGAGTTTTCCTCTTTACCATCTTTTTATTTGACCAATTTACTTTTGTGGTTATCTTTTTATTTGACCAATTTACTTTTGTGGTTATTTTATTTTATTGAGGAGCTTGATTGAAAAACAAGTCAAAGCTGATTTTTTAATAAGTTGTAGAACTCAATTTTGATCATGTACAAATTTTTTTTACTCATCTAAAATAAATTGTAATTACAGGTAAATTGGAACGGAAAAGGGGAAGGATAAGCCAATTGTATGGGAGTAATTGATTTTGATTGATATTAAATTATATTATGAGTGCTTTTAGGTATAGGTAATTCTCTAGTTAACTTATATTTTAGTCATATTTATCTTATATATATATATATTTCAAATCTCTACTCATATTTATAAAAGTTGGGCTTCTGTTAAGTTCTAATATCAACTTGAGAGAATTTGAGAGGATGGGTGTCATTTCAATGATTTAAATGTTTTATTTTGTAAGACCCTTTGTGCATATTATCTATGAAAAAATTAGGTCTATCTGATAATCGTAACATTTTTATTTTATTATTTTTATCTAAAAAACGCGAATGATTTATTTTTAAAAACATACTTACCATCTATTTTTTCAAAGACAAATACGATAAAATGAAAGAGTTACGATTCTCATATTGATTTAATTTTTTTTATGAATAACATACATGAATAATCTTAAAACATAAACGTTTCAAATTATCAAAATAAAAAATATGATGGACTATGAGTCCCTCAAATTCTTCCAAATTGAGATTTGAATTTAAAATTTAAATTTGATAAAAAAAAACAAAAAAAAAACACCAACTGAATTTGTAATCCAAATAATGCTGAAAACCACAAAATGATAAATTTTTTTTATTTTGATCAAGAAAAGTTTCAATTACACGGGGTGGGTGTTTGGAAAGTAACTACTCTTTAGGTTTTTTGCCTATTTGTGATGGACTACTGTGCCTCTGTTTGGGAAGATTGAACAAAATGATAAAATAAGTTTTTTAGCATAATAAGACAAAATATCACATCCAACACATAATCATTACATTCTTTATCTCACAAAAAGTCAAAAATTCAAAAAATCATTCCTAAACGAGACATTTTAGTCATAGACTAAAATAACTAAAAAATTAAAAAGCCAAAAAGTCAATCCACTTCCCAAATGAACTCTGAGTTGGTTTGTTAGTCAAAATTTCAAAGGGTAAAATCATCATTTTATCTTCTGTCCTGCACAACCCTCAATCCACATGCCTCATCTCAGCTATATGCCTTGTTTGGCAAAGATTAAAAATGGACTTTTAGGTTAAAATCTATAAAAAAGATAAAATGTGCTAAAATAATTAATAAGACAAAATATCACATCAAATCTATAATCATTTCACTTTTGTTCTCACAAATATCACATCAAACTATAAAAAAAATCTAATTATCTTTCCAAATATAAAAATTTTAACTTACTAACCCTATGTTTGGCAAGATGAGTTTGAAGCTTTTTTTTGGCTAAAATAGCTACAAAAAACAAAATAAGCTTTTTAGTTTAATAAGATAAAACATCACATCAAGCCTATAATCATTATATTCTTTCTCTCATAAAAAATTCAAAAAAGCCAAAAGTCTTTCTCAAACTAGACTTTTTAGTCTTAAAAAAGCCAAAAAGCCAAAAACTAAGGCCTCGTTTGGCAAGTGGTTATTTTAGTCAAAAAGTCAAAAAGTCACTAAAAAACTAAAAAACCAATAACTCATACAAAAAAGTTAAAGATTCTATTTTCTCTTTACTTTTTGCGCACCTTTTTGTAAAAAATCAAAAAGTCATCCCAAACATATATTAGTTTTTTTTGCATCATATTTTAGTTAAAAAGTCAAAAAATTACTAAAAAAGCCTATTTCCAAACGACGCCTAACCCACTTCCCAAACGAAGCCTAAAATAATTAAAAACTGAAATAACATATTAAAATAGCCAATTTTCCAAACAATTCTATAATAAAGGCTTTTAATCTTTTTTATAAAATAAGACTTAAGTAGCCTCTGACTTAACTTTCCAAACAATGTCAGAATTGAACTTTAGGGACCCTATAAGAATCCAAATCATCTCTTCTATCTCTCTCCTTTACTTCTTACTTGCTAGTAAGGGTGAGCGCGGGTCAGTTGCGGCCACGGAACTTTCAATCCGCCATCCGTTTGCCAGATTGGTAGATTGGAGAAAATCAATCCGCACCCGTTCGCCAATCTGGTGGATATGGATTGAGCGGATTGGCAGTTTGGCAGATGGATGCGAATCGGTTTGGCGGTTTAAATTTTATAAATTTTCAACATAATTCAACTTGTGCACTTCCCAAAAAAAAAAAAAAAAAAAAGAAGAAAAAGAAAGTATTACAGTTAATGACTTAAAAAAATATTACAGTCACTGCATGCCTCATCCAAAGTAAGAAAGTTTGAAACTTTAGAATATCACAATCACTGCATGCCTCATCCATATACTACAATTACAGCATGTCTCATCTATATAAAGTATTACAATCTGTGGTTCTTAAAATATAAAAACAATTCAAATCACCAAAATCATGAATACAGTAGTAGTAGAGATTGTATGTCTCTGTATTGTTACATCTATATTTGTTTTTGAAAACAAAAACCAACTAGCATATATCATATTTCATATTTTCTATTTATTATTTTCAAAGATAGATTTAAAAACCAAAAAATATAGATAAATAATACGTTTATTTTTTTCAATTTAAAAAGATATTCAAGTTGAAAACTTTTTTTCAACAAAATATTTAAACAAACTGAAAACATAAAGTCTTATAAATTACTAGGAGTCACTACAAGAAAATGGGACAAAAAACACGGAAGCAATAGCGACGGCGCGCCTCCCGTTGCAAAAAATGGTTTTTTGCGACGGCAACTTATACCGTCGCAAATAAAGGATTTAGTGACGGCGTTTGTCTCGTCGGTAATAAAACCACGCGGATAGTTAGTAAATGCCGAATTATTAGCGACGGCGTTTTTTACCGTCGCAAAAAAAAGTTAGTTTTGAGACGGCATATGTTTGCTGTCGCAAACAGTAGACATTTGCGACGGCAAACTTCCGTCGCAAAAAGGCTTTATAAAAACGGCGCCATTTTATGATGTAATTAGTAACCATCGGCGACGGTGTAAAACGAACTGTCACAAAAAGTTAAAAAAAAAAAATTACCCCCATCCTTCCCTTTCATCTTGCCGCTCGATGATTTCAGCCAAATCCCTAAATCTTTGAAACATTTTTTTCCCCCCAAATTCTTCAAACGAGCTACGAAGGCGAACGACTCTCTCTAGCGGTGGTGCGGCGGTGCGGCAGTGACGACAACGACTCTGGTTGGTCCGGCGACGAATCTCTCTGTCTCTGCGTATGCTCTCTCTCTCTCTCTTTCTCTCTCTCTCTCTCTGTATATATATATATAGATGAATGTATATTCGTAAATCTGTAGATGAAGTAAAATAAATAAATCTGTAGATGAAGTTATGTATATTCGGCAATCTATACATTGTGTAAATCAGTAATATTGCAAAAAATTATAAATTAGTGATAAGAAGATTTTATTTATAAATTTTGTTGGTGATAAGTAGATTTTATAGTGATGTTTGTCTATTTATCTGGTTTAACTGAAAAATTATAATTTACTTTGCGCTAAAGTTA